TCACAGTCCTGTACCTGTCATAAATGTTCTCACAGTCCTGTACCTGTCATAAATGTTCTCACAGTCCTGTACCTGTCATAAATGTTCTCACAGTCCTGTACCTGTCATAAATGTTCTCACAGATCTGTACCTGTCATAAATGTTCTCACTCATACGCTCATAGTATTTCTTCTTCATTTCATCTAGAGGATCTTTACGGAGTGGACTTGTACTGAGGACTGCAGTGTTCCAAGATGAGGGCCAAGGTTCAAGATTTTCCTCAATGCTCTTCTGAATTCCTTTATCATGAGGCGAGATGATCTATTCAAAGAACCAAGTATACCTTTAAAACAGTCTCAAGTTTCTAAACCATAATTTCAGTTTAAGTTTTAAAGTAACGGCTACAATATCTGTAGTAAGTTTTTCTAGGACTATTTGTTATATGTTACAGACAAATATAGACTTGTTGCTACTACACTCTTCTGCACTTTGAGTAATAATGTATCTTATTCTAACAGCAGATACGATAGTGAACACTTCAATAGACATATCAAGTACATTATTTTATAGTCTATATGTTTATAAATCAATATAGTTTGTAGTTATGTGTTGAAGATTGTGTTAGTGAACTGAAATACCATCCTTTGACAATATTCTTCAGGCAAGCATTAAAAATTGTTCATCAACTATAATATTTATTTAATATGACACATTCTCCAGCCTTAATCTTTGTTGTTAAAAGTGCTCGTTTGATTGTTTTCAGTTATTTGTGTAAAGTTACACAAGGCTTATCTGATCTACACGTCCGTAAGTTTTAACCGATAGACCAGCAGGAAGACAACTAGGCAATAGTGTTCCCTGCCAACTCGTGGGTTACTCTAGTGGGATTTGACTGTCACTCTTATACTGCACCTAAACCTCAAAGAGCCCAGCATGATTTTGTTTAATGTTGAATCGTGGTCCTTCAAAGCCACAGTTAAGCAAACTAACCAACAGGTCATATTTGGTCCATTTTTTGATAAAGGTTTGGTACTTTCGTAAACTAATGTTATCCTGGTAATAGCTAACGTCCTGTTTTTCTCAGTTAATAAGGTTTTCAGACCACTTCGCTGACTTTCTATTGAGAATCAAACTGCTATTATAACAGTATCCTGACTCATGCTAGTGTATAAAGTTGATTATGTGAAAAAGTAGCTGTCCAACTCACA